CCTTTTCTCTAAAAATTGTTCTACGAATTTCCTTTTTAAAACAATGGGTTATTGCCACTAAATATATTAATATTATAGGGTGTCAGTGAATTCATGTTTGCTGTATAACATTTCGGTTAAACTTTAAAATGTCCAGAACTAAGATTTCCATGCACAATAGTCATGAAATCACTTTTTCTTTTGACCTTTCAGCACTTTTTTCACGCTGTACAGACGATTTAACTATTCATACCTAAAAACAAATTCAGTGAACCTATATAAATTTTAATTGAATAAAACAAAACTTTCAGTAGCAATAACATGTCATTTTTTTTTTTTAATTAGGACAGGATTTTGACAAATAAGACTTTTAAGTCTAAATATGCAGTTCCTTGTTTTCTAGTTGCATGCCAAATTTCATGAGATCACCAATTTACATACCTGTTATCGTAATCACAGTTTATACTGGCTTTAAAAATTGTAGATATTAAAAAAAGTATGGCCATCTGTCTATTGTTGAAGACTATGTTGTTTTCTAGATGTCTTTTGGTTATTATTTTGTATGGTTGCCGTCTCATTGACATTCCTATTGCATTCACAAGATAAAACATATATTACTGTCGTAAAGAAAGAATTGTGTTTCCTGACCTCTCAAAATAATGTAGGAAATAAATGGGGAATGTGTCCATGGGACACAGATGATGCCCCATTATAAAGGGACATAACTCAAGAAAGGTGAAAGTGACGTTACCCTAATTCATACTTGATTGGAGTTTTGTGGTAATAAGCATTGTGTATAAGTTTATAACATTTGGTTGAGGCAAACTAAAGTTAGAGAACGGAAACGAAAAATTCAGAAATTTTTCCATTTGTAAAGGGGCACAACTCTAGAACGGTAAAAGTGACGCCACCAAAATTCAAACATGTCTGTGTTTTGTTGGTAATAAGCATTGTGTATAAGTTTCATAACATTTGGTTGAGGCAAACTAAAGTTAAAGAACGGAAACCAATTTCGGGACGTACGGACGGACGTACAGACGGACAAGTGTAAAATTTCATGCCCACATGGCAACAGCGGGGGCATAAAAATATTTTGTAATAGGAAACCCTCAAAATCACAAGATAAAAATCAAAATAGCAGATGCATAACTTCATGTCCTGCAAAACTGATTGAGCAAGTTTGGTGACACAATATATATCAAGGTCAAATGAACACTGAAAGAGATATATGCAGCTTACAACAATCCTATAAAGCAAAAAGAGTTGACTTATTACTTTTAAAAGCTCAGATAAACAAGAGTGTACACGCTGAAATGTCTCACCTGCTTTACTGACCATTGATTTTATGTTGAAAGTTAAAGATAAAGGTCTTAAAAAAAGCATTCCAGAAACTCAACATTTTTAGAAATCTATGAGAATGAGGTCAAGGTCAAATAAATTTTGTCAGACAGACATCTTACAATTTTTTTATACACCAAATATAGTTGACCTATTGTATGCTAATTGAAAAACAGACCAAAACACAAAAACTTAACATTGTCCAATGAACCATGAAAATGAGGTCAAGGTCAGATTATACCTGCCAGACAGACATGTGCACCTTACAATTATTCCATACACCAAATATATCTGACCTATTTCTATTAGTATTTGAAAAACAGATCAAAACACAAAAACTTATTGACCATTCAACCATAAAAATAAAGTCATGGTCAGGTGATACCTTCCAGACAGACATGTACCCCTTACAATCATTCCATACACCAAATATAGTTGACCTGTATTTTTTTTTCAATCAGTCACTGAACCATGAAAATGAGGTCAAGGACAATGGGCATATGACAGACGGAAACTTTGTAGCATAAGGTATATACATACAAGGTATGAAGCATCCAGGTCTTCTACCTTCTGAAATATAAAGCTTTATACAAATAGTTTACGCCGCCGCATAGTAATACCTATGTCTCGCAAAGTCGCAGGCGAGACAAAAATCAAAACCCTGACCACATGCACACCTTCAATATATGTAGAAACAGCCAGCAAAGTGAGAATTTCCTAGCATTCAAACTATAGGAGGAGTTATCTGGAATAACTATATACCCATAATGGGACGGACGGACAGAAGGACAGACAGACGGAAGGACGGACAGGGGAAAAACAATATGCCTCCAAACAAACCAATTGCCCCCTTCTACGGTTGATGTGACAGTTTTAGTATGGTACATATAAGACTTGAATTCATATGCTTATAGTACTTGAAAAACAGACAAAATAAAAAAAACTTAACATTGACCAATGAACCATGAAAATGAGGTCAAGGTCATATGATACCTGCCAGACAGACTTGTACACATCACAATCATTCCATACACCAAATATAGTTGACCTATTGCTCTTAGTACTTGAAAAACTGACCAAAACAAAAAAACTGAACATTGACCAATGAACCATGAAAATGAGGTCAAGGTTGGATGAAACCTGCCAGACTGAGAAGTACCCATTTCAATATTCCATACACCAAATATAGTTGACCTAATGCTTATAGAATTTGAGAAACAGCCTAATCACGTAATTTTAACCTTGATCACTGATCCATGAAATGAGGTAGAGGTCAGGTGAACTCTGTCTGACGGACATGTAAACGTTGCAAGGAACCCATATACCAAATATTGTTATCTATTACTTATAATTAGTGAGGAATTCACATGACAAAAAAATTCAAATATTTTTTCAAGCAGTCGCTGAACCATGAAAATGAGGTCAAGGACAATGGACATTGACAGAAACTTCGTAACATAAGGTATCTGCATACAAGATATGAAGCATCCAGGTCTTCTACCTTCTGAAATATAAAGCTTTATACAAATAGTTTATGCCACCGCCGCCGATAGTAATACCTATGTCTCGCATTTCGTCGCAGGCGAGACAAAAACAGCACATCAGTGAAATCATCACACTAAGCAAGACTGAATTATTAAAAGAAATTCAAGAATTTTATTTCATGTCATAAATTAAACGCAACAGACATATGGCAGAATACAAACAAATCAATCATTACTTAATTGTGTAATTATCTTCTTTCCTCCTTTCCCCAAGTGAAACTAGAGGCTCTAAAGAGCCTGTGTCGCTCACCTTGGTCTATGTGCATATTAAACAAAGGACACAGATGGATTCATGACAAAATTGTGTTTTGGTGATGGTGATGTGTTTGTAGATCTTACTTTACTGAACATTCTTGCTGCTTATAATTATCTCTATCTATAATGAACTTGGCCCAGTAGTTACAGTGGAAAATATTTTGTAAAAATTTACAAAAATTTACAAAATTTATGAAAATTGTAAAAAATTGACTATAAAGGGCAATAACTCCTTAAGGGGTCAATTGACAATTTTGGTCATTGACTTATTTGTAGATCTTACTTTGCTGTACATTATTGCTGTTCACAGTTTATCTCTATCTATAATAATATTAAAGATAATAACCGAAAGCTGCAAAATTTTCTTAAAATTATCAATTCAGGGGCAGCAACCAAACAACGTGTTGCCTGATTGGTCTGAAAATTTCAGGGCAGATAGATCTTGACCTAATGAACAATTTTATCCTGAAAGATTTGCTCTAAATGCTTTGGTTTCAGAGATATGAGCCAAAAACTGCATTTTACCCTATGTTCTATTTTTTAGTCATGTCGGCCATCTTGGTTCGCGGGCGGGGTCATCGGACACATTTTTTAAACTAGATACCCTAATGATGATTGTGGACAAGTTTGGTTAAATTTGTCTTAGTAGATTCAGAGAAGATTTTTGTAAGAGATTACAAAAATATACGAAAAATGGTTAAAAATTTACTATAAAGGGCAATAACTCCTTAAGGGGTCAACTGACCATTTTGGTCAAGTTGACTTATTTGTAGATCTTACTTTGCTGAACATTATTGCTGTTTACAGTTTATCTCTATCTATAATAATATTCAAGATAATAACCAAAAATGGCAAAATTTCCTTGAAATTACCAATTCAGGGGCAGCAACCCAACAACGGGATGTCAGATTCATCTGAAAATTTCAGGGCAGATAGATCTTGACCTGATAAACAATTTTACCCCAGTCAGATTTGCTCTAAATGCTTTGGTTTCAGAGATATAAGCCAAAATCTACATTTTACCCCTATGTTCTATTTTTAGCCATGGCAACCATGTTGGTTGGCAGGCGGGGTCATCGGACACATTTTTAAAACTAGATACCCTAATGATGATTGTGGCCAAGTTTGGTTAAATTTGGCCTAGTAGTTTCAGAGGAGAAGATTTTTGTAAAAGTTAACGGACGACGACGACGGACGCCAAGTGATGAGAAAAGCTCACTTGGCCCTTTGGGTCAGGTGAGCTAAAAAATGTACTAATAAAGATGCAATTCAGTGGTTACATGAATTAATTATATTGCTATACCCACATGCCATATTCCCTCTAATATTGACAAGTTTCTACTTCTAATTTTCTAAATGACCATATTATATATACGCCCAGCATTAACAATAATTTTATGTTAATTTTTTTTCGTAGTAAACAGATGATTTTCCTTTGAATAAACACAACAACAATGCATGTTGTTGTGTTTATTCAAAGGAAATATTACACATATTACATAAAAACTTGGAACTGTTGAGCTGCTGACCTAATATGAAGTCATTCTGTTCAGTAGTATTGGAGAATATATGTAGAAAAATTTTAAGTTCAGTTGACATCATAAAAAAATCAACACAGGAAATAGTTATCTGACAGATCTGAAAAGAGCTCATACATTATAACCCATCACTGCCAAGCTGCTGATCCAATATGATGCCATTGTTTTAATAAGTGCTCATACATTATAACCCATCACTGCCAAGCTGCTGATCAAATATGATGCCATTCTGTTTTAATTGTACTTTTGGAGAAAAATGTGACGAATTGTTTTGTTGAATAAATAGACAGACCAACGCCGAACGGACCAACAAGAAAAATTAGTTACAATTATAAAATAATCTACAACTAGATTACGGTAATTTACCATGATTTAGGATAGAAGTAAGTTATAACTAGATTACGGTAATTTACCATGATTTAGGATAGAAGTAAGTTATAACTTGATTACGGTAATTTACCATGATTTAGGATAGAAGTAAGTTTTAACTTGATCACGGTAATTTACCATGATTTAGGATAAAAGTAAGTTATAACTAGATTACGGTAATTTACCATGATTTAGGATACAAGTAAGTTATAACTAGATTACGGTAATTTACCATGATTTAGGATAGAAGTAAGTTAGATTACAGTAATTTACTATGATCTAGGATAGAAGTAAATCCAGATCACATGTAGCCAAGTTTAATTTCCCTCTATAACCATCCTTTGTATACAAATCCTAGACCATTCATAAATTCAAATTACTATAAACTCAATAAAAGCTGCACTTTATAAGTACAGAAAAACAAATCATTAACAAGACTGTAGTTCACAAATGTACTTTTAAGTAGCATTACCGACAGTCTGATTCATTTATTTTCTCCTCATTTATAAATGAAAGTTAGCCGTTTTTAATTTTTACAATTATTTTCTTTATCTGTACATTTCCATTTAATTAAATGTCAACATCTTTGTAGAAGTTTAAATGAATTGTGTGTGTTGTGAAGGACATAAATTCAAGTTAGAGAAGTGTTATAATCATAAAATTTGCTATCATTTTCTAATGAATAACTGATGTAATAATTTTAGAACTTCAAACAGTCGTTGATGAATAAACACAAAAATATTTCATTGTTATCATCTATTTGTTGTTACAAAATATATGCAACAGATTCAAAAGGACATACTTATTATCGTGTTTTAATATTTCATTTCATTTCTGTGCAATGCTTCAGAAAAGAACAATCAATTTGTATAATAAAGATTATGCACTTTTTTTCAAATGATGATATAGCAGAACAAAGACTTATGATTTGAGTCCTTTGACCATGGTATCCAATGGTGACATTTCTATAAAATATGTCTTTTATGCTAGAAGATCTATATTTGATGATAGGGACTCACTATAGCATTATTGTCATACAGACAACTAAAAGCCAGCACATACATGTACAATAAATTATTTAAAATTTGAATTGTTTAAAAGTTTTCCGAGTCTAAACATTTTGAGTTCTTGAATTCTGTAAATCGTTCAATAATTTTGTGTATACTGTGTTCATCGTGTACTTTGTTGTCTCTGGTACGGACATTAGCAGTCTTGTTACCAACTTCCTTCTCTCCAACAACTGAAACACAATTAATATCCACTGTATACATTAAAACAATTTATTCTGAATTGGTGTTAATAACTATAAAATGCTTCGCTGGGGCGCAGCTTGATACGACCGCAGAGGTCGAACCCTGAACAGTTGGGGCAAGTATGGACACAACATTCAAGCTTGATACAGCTCTGAATTTGGATTGTTATTAAATATTTGACACAGCATAGGTTTCTGACACAGAAAGAATGTGGTCTAAGAACTTGAATTTTTTTTAATTTACCTATTATGGTCCAATGTCCAAAATCAAAATACATGGTTAGATTCAGCATATCAAAGAACCCCATATATTCAATTTTTGTTAAAATCAAACAAAGTTTAATTTTGGACCCCAACTTGGACAAACTTGAAAACTGGGCCCATAATCAAAAATCTAAACACATGTTTAGATTCAGCATATCAAAGAACCCCAAGAATTCAATTTTTGCTAAAATCAAACTAAGTTTAATTTTGGACCCTTTGGACCTTAATGTAGACCAATTTAAAAAACGGGACTTAAAATTAAAAATCTAAATACACAGTTAGATTTGGAATATCAAAGAACCCCAATAATTCAATTTTTGATGAAATCAAACAAAGTTTAATTTTGGACCCTTTTGACCTCAATATGAACCAATTTGATAGCGGGGCCCACAAATAAAAAATCTAAATTCATGGTTAGATTCAGCATATCAAAGAACCCCATATATTCAATTTTTGTTGAAATCAAAAAAAGTTTAATTTTGGACCCCAACTTGGACCAACTTGAAAACTGGGCCCATAATCAAAAATCTTAACACATGTTTAGATTCAGCATATCAAAGAACCCCCCAAATTCAATTTTTGTTAAAATCAAACTAAGTTTAATTTTGGACCCTTTGGACCTCAATGAAGACCAATTTAAAAAACGGGACCCAAATTAAAAATCTAAAAACACGGTTAGATTTGGCATATCAAAGAACTCCAATAATTCAATTTTCGATGAAATCAAACAAAGTTTAATTTTGGACCCTTTTGACCTCAATATGAACCAATTTGATAGCGGGGCCTACAAATAAAAAATCTAAATACATGGTTAGATTCAGCATATCAAAGAACCTCATATATTCAATTTTTGTTGAAATCAAACAAAGTTTAATTTTGGACCCCAATTTGGACCAACTTGAAAACTGGGCCCATAATCAAAAATCTAAATACATGTTCAGATTCAGCATATCAAAGAACCCCATATATTCAATTTTTGTTGAAATCAAACAAACTTTAAATACTGGACCCTATCTTGGACCAACTTGAAAACTGGGCCCATAATCAAAAATCTAAACACATGTTTAGATTCAGCAAATCAAAGAACCCCAAGAATTCAATTTTTGTCAAAATCAAACTAAGTTTAATTTTGGACCCTTTGGACCTCAATGTAGACCAATTTAAAAAACAGGACCCAAAATTAAAAACCTAAATACACGGTTAGATTTGGAATATCAAAGAACCCCAATAATTCAATTTTCGATGAAATCAAACAAAGTTTAATTTTGGACCCTTTTGACCTCAATATGAACCAATTTGATAGCGGGGCCTACAAATAAAAAATCTAAATACATGGTTAGATTCAGCATATCAAAGAACCTCATATATTCAATTTTTGTTGAAATCAAACAAAGTTTAATTTTGGACCCCAATTTGGACCAACTTGAAAACTGGGCCCATAATCAAAAATCTAAATACATGGTTAGATTCAGCATATCAAAGAACCCCAAGAATTCAATTTTTGTTAAAATCAAACTAAGTTTAATTTTGGACCCTTTGGACCTCAATGAAGACCAATTTAAAGAAGAGTGCACACGCTGAAATGTCTCGCCTTCTTTACTAATCATTGATATTATGTTGATAGTCCTAAATATAAAGCTTTATTACAACTGTCACATAAACTTCACATTAACCAAGTAAACTAAACATTGACCAATGAACCATGAAAATGAGGTCAAGGTCAGATGAACCATGCTAGGCAGGCATGTACAGCTAACAATTCTTCCATACAACAAATATAGTTGACCTATTGCTTATAGTTTAAGAAAAACAGACGAAAACACAAAAACTTAACACTGAGCAATGAACCTTGAAAATGAGGTCAAGGTCAAATAAAACCTGCGTGACTGACATATAGATCATAAAATATTTCCATACACCAAATATAGTTGAACTATTGCATATAGTATTAGAAAAAAAGACCAAAACTCAAAAACTTAACTTTTGACTACTGAACCATGAAAATGAGGTCAAGGTAAGATGACACCTGCCAGCTAGACATGTACACCTTACAATCATTCCATACACCAAATATAGCTGACCTATTGCATGCAGTATTAGAAAAAAAGACCAAAACTCAAAAACTTAACTTTGACCACTGAACCATGAAAATGAGGTCAAGGTCAGCTGACACCTGCCAGCTAGACATGTACACCTTTTAATCATTCCATACACCATATATAGTAGACCTATTGCATACAGTATAAGAAAAACAGACCAAAACACAAAAAACTTAACTATAACCACTGAACCATGAAAATGAGGTCAAGGTCAGATGACACTTGCCAGTTGGACATGTACACCTTACAGTCCTTCCATACACCGAATATACTAGACCTATTGCTTATAGTATCTGAGATATGGACTTGACCACGAAAACTTAACCTTGTTCACTGATCCATGAAATGAGGTCGAGGTCAAGTGAAAACTGTCTGACGGGCATGAGGACCTTGCAAGGTACGCACATACCAAATATAGTTATCCTATTACTTATAATAAGAGAGAATTTAACATTACAAAAAATCTGAACTTTTTTTTCAAGTAGTCACTGAACCATGAAAATGAGGTCAAGGACATTGGACATGTGACTGACGGAAACTTCGTAACATGAGGCATCCATATACAAAGTATGAAGCATCCAGGTCTTCCATCTTCTAAAATATAAAGCTTTTAAGAAGTTAGCTAACGCCGCCGCCGCCGCCGCCGTAGCCGCCGCCGCCGCCACCGGATCGCTATCCCTATGTCGAGCTTTCTGCGACAAAAGTCGCAGGCTCGACAAAAACGGGACCCAAATTAAAAATCTAAAAACACGGTTAGATTTGGCATATCAAAGAACCCCAATAATTCAATTTTCGATGAAATCAAACAAAGTTTAATTTTGGACCCTTTTGACCTCAATATGAACCAATTTGATAGCGGGGCCTACAAATAAAAAATCTAAATACATGGTTAGATTCAGCATATCAAAGAACCTCATATATTCAATTTTTGTTGAAATCAAACAAAGTTTAATTTTGGACCCAAATTTGGACCAACTTGAAAACTTGGCCCATAATCAAAAATCTAAATACATGTTTAGATTCAGCATATCAAAGAACCCCATATATTCAATTTTTGTTGAAATCAAACAAAGTTTAAATACTGGACCCTATCTTGGACCAACTTGAAAACTGGGCCCATAATCAAAAATCTAAACACATGTTTAGATTCAGCAAATCAAAGAACCCCAAGAATTCAATTTTTGTCAAAATCAAACTAAGTTTAATTTTGGACCCTTTGGACCTCAATGTAGACCAATTTAAAAAACAGGACCCAAAATTAAAAACCTAAATACACGGTTAGATTTGGAATATCAAAGAACCCCAATAATTCAATTTTTGATGAAATCAAATAAAGTTTAATTTTGGACCCTTTTGACCTCAATATGAACCAATTAGATAACGGGGTCCACAAATAAAAAATCTAAATACATGGTTAGATTCAGCATATCAAAGAACCCCATATATTCAATTTTTGTTGAAATCAAACAAAGTTTAATTTTGGACCCCAATTTGGACCAACTTGAAAACTGGGCCAAAAATCAAAAATCTAAATACATGTTTAGATTCAGCATATCAAAGAACCTCATATATTCAATTTTTGCTAAAATCAAACAAAGTTTAATTTTGGACCCTTTGGACATTAATGTAGACCAATTTGAAAACTGGACTTAAAATTAAAAATCTAAATACACTGTTAGATTCGGCATAACAAATAAATAAATGTGATCAAAGATTTTACAAATCTAATGCGCCATACTGTGCAATTAAAGATTACTTCTTTAAATTCTTTTTCCCCCAAAAAAATTCTTTCCCTCAAGATATGGTCATAATCTCAATTCAAATTTCCAATGGAGTTGGCAACCATAATTACCCATTTAAATTTACCATAGTGCTAACTTAATCTATTTTATAATAGAATTAATAAAAATATAGTGTCAAATCTTTCATATGGATTTTTTTGTAAAAAAAAAAGATGAAAACATTTGCAGATATTTTTACTGGTCTTCCGTTATAAATATGCATATACATAATTTAATAGCAGTGTAAGGGAAGTAACCAAAACGTTGTATTTGGATTACCTCCCTTACACTGTTTTAGATTATCTTTATTGTTCATTAACCATTACTTTCTACATAATTTAAAAGCAGTGTAAGGGAGATAATTTCAATGATGTATTTGATTTATCTCCCTTACACTGCTTTAAATTATGTTTTGTACTAAAGTATTTGTCCATTAACCAGGACAACCTTGTTTTTCCCCCTTTTTTGCCCCTAATTCCTAAACGGTTTGAGCCATAACCCCCCAAAGCAAATCCTAACCATCCCTTTGTGGTATGGAAACTTGTAGTATAATTTCAGAGAGATCCATACACCGTTCCACAGTTATTGTCTGGAAACTAGAAAATGCTCATTTTTGGCCCCTTTTTGGCCCCTAATTCCTTAACTGTTGGTACCATAACCCCCAAAATCAATCCCAACCTTCCTTTTGTGGTATTTAACCTTATGGTAAAATTTCAAAAAGATCCATTCACTTAAACTAAAGTTAGAGTGCGAAAACCAATATGTATTCGGACGACGACGCCGGACGACGACGCCGACGCCGGACGACGACGACGACGACGACGACGCCAACGTCATACCAATATACGACCACAAAATTTTTTTGCGGTCGTATAAAAATGGATGATTCAATTTTAACCAACGGATGAATTCTTGGCATTAAATTGATATTCTAGGCGAAACAATTTCTATCAACTCCAAAAATAAAACAATACCATTCCTCTTATAGTCAAAATTTACTTCAGATTTATTTGCAGATATATTTTGCATGCATTTTTGAATGAATAACTTTCTAACAGTAGAATATTCCAGAAATATTTATACTACCAGGTACTTAGATCCAAAGAGATATCCAATTCTGTTTGAAATCGCATTGAATCAAAAAATAAATATTTAAATATAGTTAACATCAATCTTAGATTTCCATGTAAATAATAATTACAGACAATTGCCTTTATTTTCTAATATGGTTCAAATATTATTATTCTTCTTGATTACAACGTCTTTCTCCATATACTCTTGGATAACCTCCATATGGAGTATGTAAGGCAGTTATTTATCTTCACTCGTATAATAACATTGTCATTAAAGAACACCATTACATAAAATTCAACAAATAATGTTATATAAACTGTTGACACAGAGATATGTCTCGCTTGTCAGCATTAAATTCAGAAAAAACAATCTGATGGACAGCAACATTGCTTATTAATTCAGACACTGGACCATGATCTAGTGGGCAGGGCCTGAAAATGGTTGACAAACTGATATGTACAGGCAGTAATGTAACTTTATAGAATTTGTCTTTGTTTTTTTGTAAGTAGTTCCTATCAATCTAACTTAAGCAGAAAACTTAACATTGAAAATTGCTAATTAATTCACAGTCACTGGACCATGTCCTCGGGGCAAGGCTTCAAAATAGTCATCAAACTGATGTGTATTGATAGTAATGCAACTTTATACAAAGTATCATTGATCTATCACAAGTAGTTCTCATCAAACTGACTTAGCAGAAATCTTAACATTGAAAATTGCTAATTAATTCAAAGTCACTGGACCATGACCTAGGGGGCATGGCCTCAAAATAATCTTCAAACTGATATGAACTGATAGTAATGCAACTTCATACAAAATATCATTGATCTATCACAAGTAGATCCTATCAAACTAACTGAAGCAGAAAACTTAACATTGAAAATTGCTAATTAATTCAAAGTCACTGGACCATGTCCTAAGGGGTATGTCCTCAAAATAGCTATAAAACTGACAATATCGTTGATCTATCACAAGAAGATCCTATCAAACTAACTTAAGCAGAAAACTTTACAATTGTTGATGCCGTCATCATCATCGTCGTCGCCGGAAAAGCAATCCCTATGTCTCGCTTTCCACGCAGGCCACACAAAACTGACAGGAAGTAGGTGTCTGACTGTCCTGATGATACAACACATCACTGTCGAACACATAAAAAAATATGACATCACTCCGTAGTACCTAAGATAAGTGATGGAAATATTTGTAAGACCAATGGAGAGACATACGGATAAGATGAATGCAATATATATATATGATAATTCTCATTAAAACAGGAAAATTTAAGTCATTTTATGTTGTTTTCAATCGCATATTTTAATTCAGGAATTCAATATGGGAAACTGTGCAAAGCATTATTAATTTTCTTATTAGGTGTAGAGATGTGGTATACATACCCAATATAAAGTTATACTGTGCTAATTGAGAATTTCTTATTTTCTTATTAAGTGTAGTGCTATGGTCCACGTCAGTATCACACAGAAATCCAGCATCATGGATCTGCTTCTTAACCTATAAATACAATACATATATAATATAGTTTCTCTGACAGATATAAGGGATCACTTTCTCACATGTTTGTCTTTGGTATATATTTGTCTCAATTGTAATCTTTTTCCTTATTAATTTATGTAAATAATTATAGTTATAAAATATCATTACAACTGCCTTGAAACTTGAACAGTTTTGGATAGTTTGAAGAATTCAATTTAAAAAAAAAAAGTATACAAAAGGCATTTACAAATTAAGAAGAAAGTTTTTGCCTTGAAGAGCTTATATGATAATCAATAACAACCTGCAAAATCATAACTATCTCTCTTACATTTTAAGTCACATGTTTTCCTAAAATCAGGCAAATTCATAACTTTTGTATTATATATTGGCATTCAGATCTGATTACAAAATAACTAAAATCACAAGAGTTTATAATAGGACTGCTCAAACTCCACAACTTGTACTTTTAACCTTTACTGCATTGATGCAACAAACAGGTGCTTTACAATGACACATTGTTAAAGTGACAACCATAAAACTTTGAGTCACAACTTACCTCTTCTGCATAAGTGTCATAGACAGGTGCTACAGGAATAATGACACACTGTCGAGGTGATAACCAAAACGGCCATTTACCACCATAATTTTCTGTCAGAACGGCAACCATTCTCTCTACAGAGCCCAGAATAGCTCGATGGATCATCACAGGTCTCTTTTTCTCATCAGCTTCACCACTATGAAAGATAAAAATTGTAAAAAGAATTATTATGAGAGAATAGTTGGGAGTCTATTCTTAGCCTGTTTTTTTTATAGTTTAAATCATCTCTTGTACTGTCACTCTCTCAGTTATTGTGACTTAGTTTTGCAGTCATATTGTGAAATAAACTTGTAAATGCATGACAAATTCACTTGCTTCCTGCCTTTTGTTGTTGAATTACTGTCTTATAAATGTATCCCCTGTATAAGTGTAGTAAAATATAACCAACTAGACATTATTGAGATGGGAGCCATCTCTGTGGGCCCCGCTGTAAAAAATAGGTTACTATTTGACTATTAAAGGTGTTAGTGGTTGAATCTCTTAGAGCAGGTTACATGTGCTACAGTACACCGGATGCACTTTACACTTCATTTTAGAAATATAATATAAAAGAAAATAAATGGGGAATGTGTCCATGGGACACAGATGATGCCCCCACTTGCATATAACGTTATAAAGGGACATAACTCTAAGAACTGTAAAAGTGACGTTACCCAAATTTGTACTTGAACTGACTTTTGTGGTTATAAGCATTGTTTATAAGTTTCATAACATTTATTTAAGGCAAACTGAAGTTAGAGAACAGAAACGAATATTTCAGCAATTTTTCCATTTGTAAAGGGGCATAACTCTAGAACGGTAAAAGTGACGCCACTAAAATTTAAACTTGATACTGTAATCAGGCTTGTATAGTTCGCACTGGTACATAGTCCGAATCCCTTCTCCCCATGAATTTTCAGGTAAAAAAAAATTTTGTAACTGTTAGAAAAGGTCTAATGAAACTCCGGTAGTTTTAAATCGTGTGTGGTCGTTTTTTTGGTATTTTCTTGGAAAAATCTATTTTCCATCACAAAACCGAAGCTGAAACTGCTTGTAAATGGTTCTAAAACTCTTTACGCTGGTTAAAATAAGTCTAAATCACACAAAAAACAATTTAGTAACGTTGTGTATGTTTAAACCGGAAGTTTGAAAAGCACGTGTAAAAGATGAAAAACCCGGTGAGAGTTGAAATCCGTACATAATAGATATCACTATAATACAACTTTGAAAGTAAAACAGTTCCCTCCTTATGTAAAACAGTGTTTAATATATCTATCACATTAATGTTTGAAGGGTCTTGAGCTAATACAAAACATATTTGTCAGTAGGAAACACCAAAACCGAACGAATAACAGATTACGTTTTGTAGTTTACACATCGTAAGCTGGTTTACAGTTGTCTTCTTTTACTTTTTTTGTATGATTTCATTCAGGCAGATACCAGTTTATATTTAGCAATGCATTGAAAAGAAACGAGAATTTTGTAATGAAGTATTTTATTTTTAAATTTATCAGTATTAATTTGATATTGAATAAAAATAACTTATTAATATGGATTGGGTAAAATTGTGGGTTTGAAAAATGATAAGAGGGCCCTCTACAATGTCAATAACAAACATGGTGGAACGTAAACAATCCACATCGCGAAATCAAAATTTTCTCTCTTATTTCTTGCTTATTGTACTCTATAGTCCGCACCCCTGCTGTCTAGGTCAATTTTGGAGAATAAAACCGCGGACTATACAAGCATTTTAACGGTATGTGTTTTGTGGTAATAAGCATTGTGTATAAGTTTCATAACATTTGGTTGAGGCAAACTTAAGTTAGAGAACGGAAACGAAAAATTCAGCAATTTTTCCATTTGTAAAGGGCATAACTCTAGAACGGTAAAAGTGATGCCACCAAAATTCAAACTTGATCTGTGTTTTGTGGTAATAAGCATTGTGTATAAGTTTCATAACATTTGGTTGAGGCAAACTAAAGTTAGAGAACGGAAACGAAAAAATTCAGCAATTTTTCCATTTGTAAAGGGGCATAACTCTAGAATGGTAAAAGTGACACCACCAAAATTCAAACTTGATCTGTGTTTTGTGGTAATAAGCATTGTGTATAAGTTTCATAACATTTGGTTGAGGCAAACTAAAGTTAGAGAACGGAATCCAATTTTGGGACGTACGCACATACAGACGGACAAGGGTAAAACTTAATGCCCCCTCCACTACGGCGGGGGCATAATAAAACTTCTTGAAATAAACAAAGGTTATTTCGCATTACTTGTCAAGCCAGAATTATGCCATTTAAATTGTTGGAACTTTGTACTGTATCTGTATTCACATTAAATAGTTCTTGTCTTTACCTATTAAACAGTCCATTTTTTAAAGTACAGTAAATATTTTTATCATGTGGAAATCTATACATCAGTAGTCCTAGGCTCGACAAAAATACATCAGATTGAATTATTTGATTGGTTTAAATTTGTTGTGTTGATTATCTCCCTATCTTGGTTTATTTTATCTTTCAGAGTGATAACACAACATGTCCTGGTGGAGTAATATCTCCACATATAATTACTCACAAGAGAAAAGAACTAAGCCAGTTGTATGGATTGATGGGAAAAGACATAAAGATGAAATCTGCAGCAAATATTAAGGACTACAATGACAATGATCAGCATCAGTTTTTGTGTGGTATAAAATGTGTATGGATAAGCTGATGTGAATCACTTTTTTTAAGTTATTACATAGTCTCGTAATGTGCTGAGAGTGATTTTATTCTATGTTTTTAGTTAAAGTGTTATATTTGATCACATGAGTTGCACATACATTATGACACACCCTCTAGTGTTGGTTAATATACATGACAAGTACAAACTTTGAAATCATAACAGTTCTCAAGATATAGAGCGGACACAATCTTTACCATAGGACATGGGGTTGTCAACTGAAACCAAAGTTTTTGACCTTGACCTTTGACCTAGGAAGTTTTTCATACATTATGACACACCCTCTGGTGTTGGTTAATATACAAGTCAAGTATAAAGTATGAAATTATAACGGTTCTCTAGATATAGAGCGGACACAATTTGTTACAGACGGACAGACAGACTAATCACTTTAGGGCGACCTGCCACTAGGCGGGGCCCTAATTATTGCATATTCATGTGACCTTACCTGTTGAAGTTAAGATTAAATCTGATGGGTAACTGAAAGTCTAACTGTATTGTAGCACACTGATGTGATCTTTTCAAGGCATCCATAATGTGTACATCTATCTGTAATTTAAAAATTAACAATTTGTTCCAGTTATCAAGAGTTACTTTTACCATTTTTTTGTTGATATGACTGGGAGAATTTGGCATTGATGGTAGATTTTTGTTTCTGTTATATTTATTCACAACTTTTAAAGATTTAAGAATTAGAAGCTTGACATATTGTATATACATCCCTGTCTATTGTTGAAGACTAACTGTTGACCTCTAGACATCTATTGATTATTTTTGTTTTTGTTTAGTTGCCGTCTCATTTATCCAAACCACACATCTCCTTTTATTGGTGTATATCTACAACCTTCAGTCACTTGTTTTCAATAAGTTTATATTTTATCTAACATATCTTTTTCAGACAATTCCTGGAAAGAATATATCATTAAAACATACACTTGTAATAAATTGTGTTCATTACCCATCAATATGATTTCTAGGGAAAGAACTATAAAAGGAATGCCCTTCCATATCAATAGTAAGTTTACCTCTTAAAACAAAGCCTAGAAAATAGATATTTAGCCTTGAGAGCTGAAAGGTCAGTTTACCTCACTGAGCAATAGTAAATAATTTTGCTTTGTGCCATTTACCTTGTCCAAAATTTAGGTCACTCTATTGTTTTTGTGATATTGTTAATGTTGATTTATTTTGGGTCATTTTAGGCCTTTTAATTGCATTTTACATTACATGGTAGTTCTTTTGTGATAAAAGAAAATGCTATCTGCCTGTCTGTTACGGAAATAGACTATGCAAAAATTTTTTCGTAATTTTGGATTTTTTACCAAATTTTTTTTTAACAAAAATAAATAAATTTCGCATCAATTTGTGATTGTTTGCAAAATTTTGAATTTTTTTTCCCACCAAACTTATGTTGTTTTTTTTTCAATATTCCCTTAATAAAGTTAATAGTCAAAAACTATCTTAAGCTATCTGTGTACTATTACAAAATTTAGTGTCAATAAACCTTATACTTTTACTCCGTCAGTTTGGTCATGTCATAAAAATGCTTTTTCCTTTATTTAAGACAAGATAAATGGCATGAAGCCAAAATTAATCAACTCCTATTGTATGAATGGGATAAACTAACTTTTTAATTCTCAAGGCTAAATATCTATTTTCTAGGCTAATATACCAATTTAAATGATAACATAGAATTGTAATATGGATGATACAGATGTTTTCAAATGACCATAATAATAGATTAATGGTAACACTGCACTCCAGAACTTATAGGTTTGAACGAAACTTTCCTTTAAAAAAAAACCCAACACCTTCATTTCAAAGATTCTTAATTGCAAATATACACTTACCTTAGGGCCATAGAAAGCACCATCTCCTGGATTCAGGGTCCATTTCAAACCAGATGCATCTAAACATTCTGTCAATGCCTGTTCAACAATTTAAACAATTAAAGTTCTGGTCATGATCAAGCAAGCTTTGCAATTTTCATATAGACTTGTGATAAATTTGTAATTAAATATTTTTAAAATATCAAAGAATTGTTCCTTGTAGTAACCAATTTTATTCATATTTCAGTGACTTTACATTTGAAGATCTGTATCAAAATTTATTCCTTTCATACAGTTGAAACCTAATTATGAGTATTTCTCCTTTTGGGAAGTTGTATGGTTAAGATTCAATTAACAGCAATGATTGAAAGACAAACACTTCCCCTGTTGATTTCAGTCTGTGGTGTAAAGCAGTAGTCTCAGTTTAGTACAAATCATCTATGAGTAGTCATATTTTCTATTTCTAGAGCACAAACATATTAACTACAGATATTTTTTTTCTTTCTTAACTGGTATTGCTGGATAAACAATTAAGTGCTTTGTAAATGTCGATGACTGATGTACCTACTTACTGAATGCATTCAAAATATGAAGGAACTATAAATTGTCTTAATTTTGCAAGGTGTGTTTTTTTTAATTTCGTGTCAATAAATCTTTTGAAGGGATGACCAACTTTATCATTGGTTCAATAGCTTTATCTCAAGCATCAACACTTTACCAAATAAATCCTGATAGGACATACAAGCCCCAGAATATCATATCAACTAGGAGATATGTACTACATATCAAGGTGCTGCTGGAATGTTGCTTTGCAAAAATTGAAAGTTCACAATAGGAAAATTGAAATCATCTCTTTAGTATTGAAGGTTTGTACTTAACCAACCCTCACTGTCTTTATTTCTTAATGTCCTTCTGCATCAGTTTTAATGTGTTAGTAACTACAGTGCTAACAAAAACATACAATGTTATATATGTCTTTTGAATTTTTTTGTCTTTTATCAGTTACCTATATATATAGCTATTCCCCACATTTCTGTATATTATGAATGGTTTTACCCACCTTTTCTGCATCATTCCATACTTCTATTTCCCCTAAATATTTCTCTGGTCTGGTAGATAATTGTAACTCAAAAGTGAAACCAAAGGTATCATATACAGTCTTCATGAAGTCTAAACATCCAGCCATTTCTTCTTTTATCTATAAATAAGACAGAAAAAAATATTGTCAAATAAGCATTTTATAGAAAATCATATTTTTTGCAGAACAAATTGACCAGCTTAGCTGCACAGTCTTTTTATACAACATAGTGTTGATGATATAAAGATCAAAGATAGACAACTTGTGTCAAGGACCCCTTCCCCCAGGACAAAAGCCCCTGGTTTATAATAAAATATCAACCTTCACTTATCAAACTTGTCTGTTTTTTTTTCTACTGCTCCAATTCAACACTTATGTCACATATTTTATTTGACTTTTTTTTTACACAAAATATATAACTGCTCACCTGATCTTCTCTACAAAATATATGAGCATCATCTTGTTGGAAACGTCTCACTCGGGTCAGACCACTTAATGCTCCAGATAACTCGTTTCTGTGTAATACACCAAAATCTGCCATCCTTAAAGGTAACTCTCGCCATGATCTAGGTCTGTGATCAAACATTAAGCTGTAAAGGTAAACATATCTTAATTATTCTTAATCTCAATGCACAAGTCAAGGAAAGATAACACTGACATAAATTTGACTACTTTTAGTTAGTTGTATGTGGTTTCATTGTACTGCCTATACAGGTTATTGATGGAGGAAAATGGAGTGCCTGGTGTAAACCATTACCAAGCAACTGACAAATATATCACATACCAGTATAAAACTAGAAAACTGACATGTCAGCAAGGGCCCTTCTTGCACATCTATGTGTGCAGCAAAGAAAAAACATATTACTCATCAAAGCCATTCAAATTCATCAGGTATCAATTTTCTTAAATTTTGCCACTCAATTTACAGTGTATTTGTGAATGTCTGTACACGAATATGACTTTTCATGCTGATTTCTTATTTTATTTTTTACATGTTTTTCTTATATAACCATAAGTTTCAGTGTACAGGAATTCAGTTTCTATAACAATAATTTTTGAAGCATTCATTTCTGTTTATTACTATTAAAACTTACCAATGTCCAGGACAATTCATTGGTTTCAATGCAAACATTTCTTTATCTACTTCAAATTTAAATATATTATCCTGTAACAGAGTAAGACAGAATAAACTGACAGTGTTGTAGCATTTTTATGTACTTTATGATATAATAGACATACATTTAATATCTCCTAAGCTGACAACGAAAGTTTAGAAGAGGAACAGTGTGAATTTTTTCCAATTTTCTTTCAAATATTTTCATATAGAAGCATGTAAGTAATGGTATTTTCACCAACTCTTTCTGAAATACTTCTTGGCCATCTCTCCTTTAATACAGTACTTGATTTGGTCTTAATATCTTTTCGAATGACAAAGTTATAGCTATTTTAACATGACTACACAAAATTTGTGTTGTGCTACCTTAAACCAAAACTTTTAACTTAATACAGGAAGCAGAATAGAAAATAAATTACCTCTTACTATGGTTGATGTGACATCATTATTATGGTACATATAAGACTTGAATTCAGACTTACATCATAATGTTGCCAATGACCTGACTGTTGCCATAGTTTACTGTTGTATATATTAGGAGAAACAACTTCAGTAAATCCTCTTTTTCTGTATTCACTCTGAAAAATTATTGTAATATAACTGCTTTTAAGTTCACCATTAAATAAATTTTGAAAATGCTGTGACTTTTTACATTAACATTTTTAAATGTAACAAATACTTTTTTTTACATTAATTCAATGTGCCTTTGTAAGATATTTGTAACATAAGAAGAAGTTAGTGCTATGACAAAAATATTCCTGTTGATTTTGTACGGTTTGATTTAGAAATCATTTTGTATGAAAATCTAACTGTATCTTTGCAAATCAATATGTTTGATCTTTCCATTTAATGCTATTAAGTTGTTCACATGAGACCTGATGTAATATGTTCCTTCCTTCAAACTATAGATTCTTTATGTTTGAAAACTTATAAAATGTAATACCATAAAACTATGGGAAAACCTGCATTACAAAAACAGTATTAACTATCTTAAACTGAAATAAATTCTTAAACATCAATGATCTTAACTATCCTAAATTCAAGTTAATTCTTAATCATACAGGATCTTACTTTTATATAGTCAATCAATGTGTTACAAATATGAGCTCCTTTAGGTAAGAAAAAACAACTTCCAGGACTCCATTCATGGAAAAAAAACAATTCTTGTTCCTAAAATAGATAAATGCTTGCGTTTTATTAATAAATCTATTAAAATATCTGTTGATAAAACCCCACTTATCTAAATGTTCAAACTTTTACTTGTAATGGCAATATTGCATCTGTGGTCTGGTGCTAGTGTACTAGCCTCCAGTAAGAAAAGTCATTGATGCTCCTCTACTTAGCACATGGTATTTAGCAGCAAAAGCAGACAGGTTACCTCACAGTCAAAAAAGTGTGTCTAGGTAGGGTGACATGTCTTCCTGGACATTGAAAAAGATCAATCATCATCATCACAAAAAAGAATTTTGCTTCTTAATAATTTAATAACCTCTTATTTCTATGATTGTATAAGATGGCCTATGTTAGTTTGGCATACAATTACTGATCATTTTTGTATTCAAGTATTGTCAATGCTTTGATACTCTTATATATATTATTTTATTTATATAGATAAATATTGTCCACAGCAGTCTATCATATTCACGGCCACCAATCCAACTAAGTCATACACAATTAATATGAAAACAAGTGCGTTAATCCGACTTCCGAGTATGCAGTAGAAGTAATAAACAATCAAGAATTGCTATACATTGACAAGGTAAGTCACCTATTTATGTCATAAGCTTTATACTTAAAAAAAAAACCGAGAATGTCATTCGACCCTTTATTTTGTTTTCCTTCATGTGTTATCACAACTTTGTTGTACATTGAGTAGTATTTTTACTACAACTTTTCTCCCGGTGAATAACGATACAATCTGCACGAAATTCTTACCGACATCTTATGTTATTTGTTAATAAGACACGTTATGCATGAGTACTGGTACATTTATTGATCGGTGTGATATATAAATTAATTATACGTTGCGAGATGTGTATATATGTCTTTATTATCATTTTATCGATATAAACCTAGGAGGATATGGTTTGAAGGTATCATATATGATTAAAACGTACCAAGTATGAGTTGATGGTAACGTAAGAACACACTACGAAAAATTTAGATCATAAAATTGCTCTTAGTATAATGTAGTTACACATCTCAATAATCCAGCTTTCTAATAAAAAAAACATCTTTATATGTGTAATGCTTGCTGAAAAAGCTCTCCTCTAAATTTATTTTCTTGTCTTTGCAGGTTCCAAATGGGAAAAGTTAAAGGGATTAATTTGACGTTTTTGCAAAAAATACAGATTGATTTTCTTTTCGCACTATTACAGATACAATATTGATGAATTGGTCGTCAAAGAAAAAGGCGATTTCAATCATTGTCCAATGTTGGTTATTTGATTATTTTTATCGTTTGTTTGCTGTCTCATTTTGTTAACGTTTCATCAAAGACATCCATTTCTTTATATAAGGTTCTGGTTGAGAGGTTATTTACTATTCCGAGCGAGTATTCTTATTTTTATAAACATTGTTAGATTGTTAGAAGCTGTTAAACTTAGATTACTTCATTTAATGAATTTAGGACGAGAATATTTATATATGATATGCAGGTTGCTAACTTGTTTATAACGATAGATAGCAAATAGATGCGTACAATAATTATTTGCATTTCCAGGCAAATAGTTTTGATCTGCGTGTTTCATTAAATGGATTTTTTTGCTAGCTCAGTTTTCGACTATTAGTTTTCTTTTATTGTTGAAGGCTTCCAGTAGACACTCCGGTCTTTGGTTAATAAAACTGGCAATCCCAGTCAACTAAGATAGGAGTCGAGCGCATCCGCCTTAAAAGGGTTGAATTTAAACCTTCATGCTTACTGGTTAATTATTACTGTTAGATATATATCCCCTAAAGGAAGGACGGTACCTAAAGATGAATTTATTCATAATTAACATTGACATTGTGTAAAAGAACATCATCATGTTGGTTACTAAAATATCTCTCACTTAATCATACTCGTTACTTTTAAGTCATATATGGTCCTTCTTAACCATACATTCTTAATTTTCTTGCGATAATTTGATAATAAGTACAATTATAAAGTATTTTGCTTTCTAGAATTAATTTATATATCACACAGATCAATAAATGTACCAGTACTTATTAACAAATAACATAAGATGACGGTAAGAATTTCGTGCAGATTGTATCGTTATTCACCGGGAGAAAAGTTGTAGTAAAAATACTACTCAATGTACAACAAAGTTGTGATAACACATGAAGGAAAACAAAATAAAGGGTCGAATGACATTCTCGGTTTTTTTTTTAAGTATAAAGCTTATGACATAAATAGGTGACTTACCTTGTCAATGTATAGCAATTCTTGATTGTTTATTACTTCTACTGCATACTCGGAAGTCGGATTAACGCACTTGTTTTCATATTAATTGTGTATGACTTAGTTGGATTGGTGGCCGTGATATTGTAGGAGCCTGCTAGTGAAATATGATAAACTATAAGAGACAATTTCTCCAATATCAGTGCAATAATCCTATTATTATATAGTACCAAATATGTCAGAAACATTAATGATACTTCTTCTAATTCCTAGAGATCTAATGCCTACAGCAAGGAAGCAATGTCAATTTCTGCAATCTGGTTTATCTTTTGTTTGCATGTGTGCAAATATTGGTTAACTTGAAACCTCTCTAGTTCATACCAAACTTTGAAAAAGGATAAGTATAAAATGCAATAATTTTTTTACTCATCAGAAATGGTTTACTTTTTAGGCGTATTTATAAAGGAAGACCAGTAAAAATATCAGCATATTTTGCATTTCTATTACAAAGAAATAAACATGAAATATTTGATACTATATCATAAACTTATATATACCTTTCCCAGTTTTCTGTGATCTCTTTTGGCTGCCTCTTCCTGTATATGTTTCCATTCTTTCATCTGTTTGGTATCAGGGAAAGATATACCATAAATTCTTTGTAGAGATTCAGCATCAGCCTTGCCTTCCCAGAACGTGGCAGAATTCTGTAATATAAATTAATATAACTTCAGAAGTATAACTTAAGATTAAATATCAGCCTTCACCTCACTAGAAAGAGACAGAATAATATGAAGAAAAGATAAATGGTAAAATTCAACACAAAGACCTCTATTACCACATAGGGTTAGAGTTCAGAATGGAGAGATGTATGTAGGAAGTTGCCTAACACTTCAATGGACAAGAAATTTAATAAAAAGATTTCCTTCACATCCAAGTTCAACAGTTGAAAGTATAAAATTTGAAATGTATAACTGTTCATAAAATAATGAAATTTCTTCCTTCTTTGCTTTTTAAACAGTGCAATGAAGTATGACAGCTAATTCATTGAAAGGCCATAGTCATATTCAGGGCCTCATTGAAAGGCCATAAAGACATATTCAGGGCCTATCAATTTAAAAAAAACAAAACATGTTCTTATTCAAAGCCGCTAGTGACATTTTACTTTAGCACCTGTAACTTATGCAGTCTGTGAAATACCTACAACAGGTTTTAATATATTTCATCTGTTAACACTTTGGAAAAATATACTATAATTTGTGAACTAACCTTAGTGACTGTAAAAGCTTTTACTTTACCAGTATGTCGAACATGTGGGCCTCTACATAAATCTATCAATGGTCCACATCTATAGAAAATAATTAGGGTTAACTATGAATACTACATGTACATAATTATACATTATAAATCTTCCGAAAGTTCATTTTCATTGCAAAGAAAATCTTAGTATGGTACCTTCCAATTTGAATAATGTTATATTACAAATGTATTATATGGGGTACAAGATATTAACTAAAAAAAAAAAAACATTAAGCACCTTTTCCTTTTATTTGTATTTCATCCAGATATTCATACCTTAAAATATTTCTCGGAAATTTTACATGCCTTATTTCCCTTTTACCATAAACAAAAATTTATAAAGCAACTTGACATCTTTTTCTCTCCCAGTGTGATAGAAAAGCAGTACATATGAAAAACCTTTTATATACTGTCTGATGGTAACAGGTTTTCCCAATTTTACAATGTTTTACATGTTGCCTATTAGGGAATTTATGGCATTCAACAGTATTCATTAGATTTGTTTGCAAGTTATAATTTATAATAGGTTGGTATTACCCTACAGCTTCTGCAATGCAAAGATGTAGCCTAAGAAGGTTTGCTATATGTTTCAGGCTTCAATGTAACTGTGAGATAAAGAACAGCAAATAAGGTGGTTCCTTTGTTTTTGGTTTTCTATGATGTGCGTACTGATTTTGTATCATGAATTGATGCACCATATCCTCTTTTTGATTTTAATAAATAATTGTCAGTGTATTACTGTATTACAAACATACCTGTAGACAGTGGTGGTTGGAGTGGTTACTTTCTCATTGATTATCCTTTGTTTAAACTTATTATACTGTAAACAGAAAGTAAATGTGATATAACAAAGGTATCAGTAACCTACAAGCAACCTCAAATAAAATCATTATTCTTCATTGATTTTGTCTATTTGTGAATTTCACACAATTAATTTAGCCAAAATCAATCAATGGATACTACTTATAAAGGAGAACATACAGTTTTGAGTGTATAAGGCTATTTTTGGCCTTTTAAGCAATGAATTTCTATGTACATTGCTGAAAGTCATGTCTTGCTGTAATGTTTATAACATTGCTGTATGAAATCTGTTCTAAAGTACAGCTGCCAATATTAAGGTGTAGGACAGCATAATTTCATATCAGCATGTTAAGTGCTTTGAACCTGCTTTCAGTGACTGCAAGAATTTTAAAAAATTTTATTGTTTATTATTGTAATGCTTATAAAAATAAGGAGATGTGGTATGATTACCAATGAGACAACTATTCACTGAGTTCAAATGAAGTGGATGTAAACAAATATAGGTAACAGTTCGTCCTTCAACAATAGTCAGCTATAAAAGGCCCTGACATGAAAAATGTGAAACAATTGAAATCTGAAAACTAGAGGCCTAATTTATAACAAAACAATTTTCAAAGACAAATATGACAAGACACAAACAAATGACAACCATTGAACTACAGGCTCCTGACTTGGGACAGGCACATAAAGAAGGCATGAACCAACGACAACCATTGAACTTCAGGCTCCTGACTTGGGACAGGCACATAAAGAATGTGGTGGGTTATACATGTTTGTGTGCGCTCAACCCTCCCCTAACCTGGGACAGTGATGTAACAAAACACCATAAGAACAAACTGTAAAATCAGCTTGTTTTTTGTTTTCATTTAAACATTATCAGAGTTATACGCTTGCTTGTCTGCATTGATATGTTAATGTGTATAATGACTTAAGAGACTTGGTATTCATTACAGATTATTGATAGTCTCAAATTAAAACATTTCTAGACTCAGGGCAATTTAAAGTTTAACATACTGTCTATTGTCAAAGACCACATATTCACCTATGTAGGTATTTTTGCTTTTGTTGCTGTTGGGTTGCTGTATAATTGATATACACCATATGACTCTTTTAATTCATTAGAACTATAAGCCATTTTTTGGCATTTAATTTTTTAATTCAAGGGGCCATAAAAATGGCCTTACCCATCAGCAGTTTCTATTTGTTTGAGTATCACCAATTTTAGAGGGTATAAACAACAGTACTTTATTCGAAGTATAATTTTGTTTCTTTTTGTGATATAGTTTACAAATATATATTGGCAAAGAGACTGATATTCTAACATATATAAGATTTCTTACTAAAAACATTTTACATACACCATATCAAGACAATCTTACTTCAAACATTTTAAGTAGATCTTCTTTCTTCATTTCTAATCTTTCAAATGGTTGTTTTTCTTTGACAATGGATTTCACAGCAGTTTCTATTGCTGGGTAATCATGACCGGATACTTGTCTACAATAATAAGACACATGTTAGTTTTGACATGTTCTATTTTGTATACACTTATTGAGGCTATGTTCTCTGGGAAAGTGGATGTCATGACCACTTATGGTTTAATTAATTTTTGGTATTCAGAAGGTATATAACCTTAATTCTCAAAGATGAGTATTTTCAATGATACTTTGAAAGTATGTGTTATAAAAAAAAGATGGGCCATAACATAGATGACCAATTCCACTTACCTCTCTTCTGACCACATGTCATAATAAAATCCTCCATCTATAGGAGGACCATAACACAAGTGTCCACCATATAACTTCTCCATTGCTTCTCCCAACATGTGAGCACTTGAATGCCAAAACACATACTGACCTATGAAAACAAGAAGAAAATATTTTATTTAACATATAATTTATACCATATGTTTCACCGAGCAACTTTTTTGACACAGATTTCAAGGGAACAACCTTCATATACAATGATTATTATAGAGCAAACATTAAATTCTTGAGGATAATAATCAGACTAGGTTGGCACAATGACTCGGGTCACAAATACAAGATGAATGACTGTCACAAAGTGAGTGTCTCAATAGTGACAAGATATCTTATTCCTGAATGTTTTAGATTTTATTAATTAATTATCAACTGAAAAAATGCACCATACAAAATAATCTGTAGAATATAGTAAACTGTTGGTAGCATCTAGTTTTATGGGATTTCATAATACAATGTATAAATTATTTAGTTTTAAAGTTTTCTATTATATATTCACTGTGTGGAATGCCACATATGGGGATTGAGATCGGCATCATCAGGAATGACAAAGTTTTCGCTTCTAACAAGATAGGTCCTTCATATATCTAATTATTTTGGCCTTTAAAATAAATTAAAAAGTACTGCACAGAATGCACTGATAAAAGAGGTATTCACAGGACCAAATTTGCATAAATTATCTGTACAGGAAATAGAACACTCGTGCAATGCATTAGAATTTCATTCAAGTTTGAAACTTGCACCAGTTATCTGTCTGTTTGAGCTTATGTCAAGTCCTGTTGCATAACATATGTTGTCACACTGTTCACTAACAACTAACACATTGCAAGAAAAATTGTTTTGACTGTCAACTGTAATTTTATAATTAAGTTTTCTTTAAAAATGAGGATAGTGATTCATGTGTAACAAGAGACTTTGATTGTTATGTTAATTTTAACTAAAGTGATATTTATAGTCTAATTACATTTATTTAATCATGCAATGTAATTTATTCAACATTGTTAACATGATTCCAAGTGTTAATTTGGACCCAAAAAACAGACCCTATTAATCAATTTTGTTTCAATGATACAAGACGGCAAATGCAACTGCTGAAGTACGTAAATCATGTCACATGCCAACGTAGGATTTGTCTATATAGTTTTGGATTATTGTGTTTATCAACATGTTTGCCAAAAATAAGTGTGGAGCTATCACATGCAATATTGATAATCAAAAAACTGTCAACACAGAGATATGTCTTGCCTGTCGGCATAAAATTAGAAAAAGATAATCTGATGGACAGCAATATGATTTATTAATTCAGTCCCTGGACCATTATCTAGTAGGCAGGGCCTACAAATAGTGGTCAAACTGATATGTACTGATAGTAATGCAACTTTATACAAAATATCATTTATATATCACAAGTAGTTCCTATCAAACTGATTTAAGCAGAAAACTTATCATTGAAAATTGCTAATTAATTCAAAGTCACTGGACCATGACCTAGGGTACAGGGCCTCTAAATAGTTCTCAAACTGGTATGTACTGATAGTAATGCAACTTAATAGAAAATATCATTGACCTAGTTCCTATCAAACTGACTGAAGCAAAATGCTTAACATTGAAAATTGATAAATAATTCAAAGTCACTGGACCATGACCTAGGGCACAGGGCCTCAAAATAGTTCTCAAACTGATATGAACTGATAGTAATGCAACTTCATACAAAATATTATTGATCTATCACAAGTAGATCCTATTCAGAAAACTAAACATTGAAAGTTTAATCAATTCAAAGTCACTAGACCATGACCTAGGGGGAGGGCCTTGAATGGTCGTCAAACTGATATGTACCGATAGTAATGCAACTTTATATCAAATTTCAATGATCTATCACAAGTATTTCCTATTGTGACATTATAAATGAGTCTAGATGATGCATGCAAGATGGTAGATGCTCACTCTGTCTGTGACATTATAAATGAGTCTGGATGATGCATGCAAGGCAGGAGATGCTCACTTTGTCTGTGACATTATAAATGAGTCTGGATGATGCATGCAAGGCAGGAGATGCTCACTCTGTCTGTGACATTATAAATGAGTCTAGATGATGCATGCAAGGCAGGAGATGCTCACTTTGTCTGTGACATTATAAATGGGTCTAGATGCTTGCAAGGCAGGAGATGCTCACTTTGTCTGTGACATTATAAATGAGTCTGGATGATGCATGGAAGGCAGGAGATGCTCAGTTTGTCTGTGACATTATAAATGAGTCTAGATGATGCATGCAAGGCAGAAGATGCTCACTTTGTCTGTGACATTATAAATGAGTCTGGATGATGCATGCAAGGCAGGAGATGCTCACTCTGTCTGTGACATTATAAATGAGTCTAGATGATGCATGCAAGGCAGAAGATGCTCACTCTGTCTGTGACATTATAAATGAGTCTGGATGATGCATGCAAGGCAGAAGATGCTCACTCTGTCTGTGACATTATAAATAAGTCTGGATGATGCATTCAAGGCAGGAGATGCTCACTCTGTCTGTGACATTATGAATGAGTCTAGATGATGCATGCAAGGCAGTAGATGCTCACTCTGTCTGTGACATTATAAATGAGTCTGTATGATGCCTGCAAGACAGGATATGCTCACTCTGTCGACACATTCATCTTCAATTCGTTTTTAGTTAATGCTATGGTTTTTATTTTCAAAATCTATTAATAACATTAGTATCAGGTTTACTATTCTTTTTATTTTTTAGTTGTATGTGTATTAGACTGAACTACAGATAATCCTTGTGTTGATATTCTTTATAACAGTTATGTATTACACTCTTGTGTTGGTTAATCAGCATATTTATAATTTGTACTTGACAAAACAGACCATTTTTTCAAATTTCTGTAACAACCTACCATCTTTATCTTCGAATTTGATAAGTTGTAAATTAGCATCTTTTTCAAATGGTCTGTCTAAATCCCAAAGATCTCCGTTTACCTTGGCAACCACACAGTTATCTGCTAAACCCTGGCTGTAAAATTGAATAAATATCATAATAAAATGCTTCGCCGAGCACAGCTGGATACGACCTCAGAGGTCCAACCCTGAACAGTTGGGGCAAAAATGGACACAATATTCGTGCTTGATACAGGTCTGAATTTGGATTGAAATTAAATGTTTGACACATAATAGGTTTCTGACACAAAATAACTGTAGTCAAAGAACTTAGAATTGGTTATATGATTTGAATTTATATTAAATGCTGTTGTGAATAGACCCCCCCCCCCCCCAAAAAAAAAAATTTCACCCCCTTTTTTTTTGGCCAAATTTTTTTTTTCACCCCATCCCATTTTTTTGTTACAAAAAAATAAAATATTTGAAGAAATTACTTTTTAATTTCTGAAATCTGTAATGAGAAAAAAAAATTGCCCCCCCCCCCACAATTTCTTTTTAACCCCCCACCCCAATTTTTTCACCTCCCCCCTCCCCTTTTTCCCAAAAAAATATAACCTTTCCCTCAAGATATGGTCATTATCTCAATTCAAATTTCCAATGGAGTTTGCAACCATAATTACCCAATTAAATACATCATAAAAGTCTTAAAATAGAAAATGACATACATAATCATGTCTAAAAATAATATATCTTTAATCAGCATTTTTATTAGTAACTTCTAAAAATAAATTGACAGCTAATCACCTCAAGACAATACAAAATTTCTTTATACATAATTTTTAAGCAGTGTAAGGGAGGTAATCCAAATTTAACATTGTGCTTAAAGGTGATTGTCCATTAACAAGGAAACCCTTGTTTTTCCCCCTTTTTTGCCCCTAATTCCTAAACGGTTTGAGCCATTACTCCCAAAAGCCAATTCTAACCATCCCTTTGAGGTATGGAAACTTGTTGTATAATTTCAGAGAGATCCATACACCATTCCACAAGTTATTGTCTGAAAACTAGAAAAATGCTTATTTGGGCCCCAATTCCTAAACTATTAGGACCATAACCCCCAAAATCAATCCCAACCTTCCTTTTGTAGTTATAAACCTTGTGTTTAAATTTCATAGATTTCTATTCACTAATACTAAAGTTATTGTCCGGAAACCAAGTGTCTTCGGACGACGACGACGTGTTACCAATATATGACCGTCGTATAAAAATAAACTGGATATATCTAGTATATATGAATTTTTGTTTTTAAAATACTAGTACATGTATTAACAGAAAACGCATATTCATTCATATTTTTATAAGTGTACTAGGTGATTTTGATCTTGTCAAATTTAAGGTACCAATTTACTGTTAAGCCACATAATAACACCTAAATATCTATTTTTTGTAAACTTGTAATGTTAGGTTGTTGTTTTCATTGCTTCATACATGTACATGCTTTACAACAGTAGGTATGTGCCACTGTAATCTACTCCAAGGGTATAACATGTATAAGAAAGCCATTCAAAAGAAATGATTACATTTTCAGGATATTTTGATAATTATAACTATCAAGGCATACTAATGTTCATACCCACTCACTATAACATGAATAATGACAAACACAAATGTACCTGATGCCTTTTGCCACTTCATATGGAGTAGTTTTCCAACATTCTCCATCCACCTGTTTACCATCGGGTAATGTGATCTTGATTGGCGTATTTGGCTGTGCAGCAATAAATTCATCATATTCTTTCTTTAATTTATCCCATAGCTGTAGTCTGTATGCCAAAAATTCTGGAGGAGGACTTAACTAAAATTTTCAAAACAAGTCATTCATTGTCATTTACAAATGTAGGCAATTATTAAATTTCAACTGGTTCAATTTCCTTTTAATTTATATAGACATTTTGTAGTTTTCTCTAAGATTGATTGATTAATGGTGTTTACAGGCTGATATCCAATTGAAATTAAATAAAAGAACAGAGTTCAAATGTCCCCCGCATTGTACATATTTCATCTATCCAAGGGCAATAACTAATAAAATGCTCCGCTGGGGCGCAGCTTGATACGACCGCAGAGGTCGAACCCTGAACAGTTGGGGCAAGTATGGACACAACATTCAAGCTTGATACAGCACTGAATTTGGATTGTAATTAAATATTTGACACAGCATAGGTTTCTCACACAGAATGAAAGTAGTCTAAGAACTTAAAAATGTTTAATTTACCTATTCAAACCATATCATTATTATTTGCTTTTATATATAAATCAGAAATAACCAACTTAAAATGGAAAATTTTAAAGAAAAAAAAGGAAAAAAAAATCCCCCCCCCCAAATTTTTTGAAACCCCCTTATGATTCATCACCCCCAAACTCAATCCCAGCCTTCCCTTTGTGGTATGGTACCTTGCAGTACAATTTCAGAGAGATCCATACACTTGAACACAAATTATTGTCTGGAAACTAGAAAAATGCTTGGGTTTTTTGCACCTTTTAAGCCCCAAATTCCTAAAAGTTTAGGGCAATTACCCCCAAACTCAATTCAAGCTTTCCCTTTGTGATATGGAACCTTGCAGTACAATGTCATAAAGATCCATACACTTACACACAAGTTATTGTCATGAAACTAGAAAAATGCTTGTTTTTTTGCCCCTTTATGGCCCCTAATTCCTAACATTTTGAGACAATTACCCCCAAAAACAATCCCAGCCTTCCCTTTGTGGTATGGTACCTTGCAGTACAATTTCAGAGAGATCCATACACTTGAACACAAGTTATTGTCTGGAAACTAGAAAAATGCTTATTTTTGGCCCCTTATTCCTAAACGTTTTGGGCAAGTACCCCCAAACTCAATTCCAGCTTTCCCTTTGTGATATGGAACCTTGTAGTACAATTTCATAAATATCCATACACTTACACACAAGTTATTGTCATGAAACTAGAAAAATGCTTGTTTTTTGCCCCCTAATTCCTAAAATTTGGAGGCAATTACCCCCAAAATCAATCCCAGCATTCAAACCCTCAATCAGCATCATTTAACAGTAATATCTAAAAATGGAAATTACATAATAAAGGTATTAAAATAGAAAATGACATCATAGTCATGGCTAAAAATAAACAAAATCCTTAATCAGCAACATTTTACAGTAATATCTAAAAATAAAATTCCTTTGTAACCATAAAAGCCCATTTAAATACATCATGACAGATATTAAAATAGAAAATGACATCATAGTCATGGCTAAACATAGCAAAAACCTTAATCAGCATCATTTAACAGTAATATCTAAAAATAAAAATTTTTTTGCAACCATAAAAGTAAAATAGAAAATGACATCATAATCATAGCTAAAAATAAACAAAATTTTTTTTTATTACCAAATTTTAAATGGAGTTTATTAAACTAAAACAATAAATTTGCAACCATAAAACCCCATTTAAACACATCATAAAAGAAGTAAATAATTCAACTACATCATAAGGCTATAAAAATAGAAAATGACTTCATAGTCAAGGCTAAAGGTAAACAAAAAACCTTCATCAGCAAAATTTTATATTGGCAAATTTCCAATGAAGTTTATTATACTAAAATTGTTGGCAAATTTCCAATGCATTTATTAACAATAAAGTTATTGGCAAATTTCCAATTTACATAATTTAAAAGCAGTGTAAGTGAGATATTTAAATGAGTTTGAATTACCAACCTTACACTGCTTTTAAATAATGTTTTGTACTTATTTGTCTATTAACCTGGAAACCCTTGTTTTTTCACCTTTTTTTCCCTTATTATTTAAAGGTTTGAGCCATAACCCTACCCCAAAGCCAATTCTTAAATTCCAATGTAACCTAAATTTACAATATACATAACTTCAATTTAAGTTTTTGATAAAATCAAACCACATCATTATTATTTGCTTTTATATCTAAATCAGAAATAATTAACCAACTTTAAGTGGAAAATTTTCACACATCACGCCCCCCCAAACTCAATCCCAGCCTTCAGTTTGTGGTATGGTACCTTGCAGTACAATTTCACAGAGATCCAATTACTTAAACACAATTAATTGTTGGAAACTAAAAAAAAAATGCTTATTTTTAACCCCTTTTTTAGCCCCTTATTCCTAAACATTTGAGCAATTATCCCCCAAACTCAATTCCAACTTTCTCTTTGTGATCAGAATTAACCAACTTAAAATGGAAAATTTTAAAGAAAAAAAAAAGGAAAAAAAATCCCCCCCCCAAAATTTTTTGACCCACTTCCCTTTGTGGTATGGTACCTTTAAGTACAATTTCAGAGAAATCCATACACTTGAACACAAGTTAATGTCTGGAAACTAAAAAAATGCTTATTTTTGCCCCCTTTTTTGGCCACTTATTAATAAATGTTTTGGGCAAACATTTTACAATAATATTTAAAACTGAAATTAATTTGTAACTTTAAAATTAAATAGAAAATGACATCATAGTCATAGCTAAAAATAAACAAACTATTGGTAAATTTCCAATGGAGTTTATTATATTAAAACAATAAATTTGCAACCATAAAAGCGCATTAAAATACATCATAAAAGTATTAAAAAAAATTTAACTACATCATAAGGCTATTAAAATAGAAAATGACATCATAGTCAGACTAAAGGTAAACAAAAAACCTTCATCAGCAAAATTTTATATTGGCAAATTTCCAATGAAGTTTATTATACTAAAATAATTGGCAAATTTCCAATTTACATAATTCAAACATAGTGCAGGTAAGATATTTAAATGAGTTTGAATTACCAACCTTACACTGCTTTTAAATAATGTTCTTTACTCAATTATTTGTCTATTAAAATGGAAACCCTAGTTTTTTAACCTTTTTTCCCCTTATTCCTTAAACGAAAAAAAATAATTACCCCTTTTTTGACCCCCCCCCCTATGATTCATCACCCCCCCCTTCCCCCCCCAAACCAAGCTCAATAACAGCCTTGCCTTTGTGGTATGGTACCTTGTAATACAATTTTAGAGAGATCCATACACTTGAACACAAGTTATTGTCTAGAAACTAAAAAATGCTTATTTTTCACCCCTTTTTAGGCCCCTTATTACTAAACGTTTTGGGCAATTACCACAAAACTCAATTCCAGCTTTCCCTTTGCGAAATGGAACCTTGTAGTAAAATTTCAGAAAGATCCATACACTTACACACAAGTTATTGTCATGAAACTAGAAAAATGCTTGTTTTTTGCCCCCTTTTGGCCCCTTATTCCTAAAATTTCGAGGAAATTAACCCCAAAATCAATCCCATCATCGACCCTTTGTGATATGGAATCTTGTAGTACAATGTCAAAGAGATCCATACAATAACACACAAGTTATGTCTGGAAGTTACAAAAATGCTTATTTTCGGCCCCTTTTTGGCCCCTAATTATTTAACTGTTGGTACCATAACCCCCAAAATCAATCCCCACCTTCCTATTGTGGTATTGAACCTTATGGTAAAATTTCATAGAGATCCATTCACTTAAACTAAAGTTAGAGTGCGAAAACCATTGTGTATTCGGACGACGACGCCGGACGACGACAACGACGACGACGACGCCAACGTCATACCAATATACGACCACAAAATTTTTTTGCGGTCGTATAAAAAAGTACTTTTTTTTCTTTCTTTAAAACAATTTATAAATATCTTAGAGAAATAAAGGCTTTAGAGCAAATGCAATGCCATTTCTGTTATAATTAATTTTTCCAAGGGGCATAACTCATTAAAAATATTTGATCAGTACTTATTTTGGAAAGTGTCAAAGACACCGCTGATATTAACCTATGATATAAGTTTCATAAAATTCTGGCAAGAATTATACACATGAGAGCTAAAAATGCAATTTTCCATATGATCAATATTTCAAAGGGACATAATTCAAGGTGTAATACCACCATTGATTTTCCCCTATTAGTCTTTGTTAAATTTGCACTTTTCAAAAAATTGTGCAGAATTTATCTTTGTTTCAAATAGAGAAATAAAGTTATATCCTGTCCAGTACTATAGACAAAATTTCACATAACATTTCATTGCATATAAGAAAATCACCATCACTGGAAGTTAACCAATCAAATTTTCACACCTATTTTTCCTGTGTACAAGCTTTAGTAACCATGTAACCTCAAGTTTCCAAAATATTATATAGAAACACCAAATAAAAAAATAATGGTGCTTTGAAACACCAAAGACATATGTTTGTGACTCAGAATTTTTTTACTGCAATGAAATGTAGGATTAATTTACTACAACTGTCAAATTCAAGGGAATATTTTTTTTCGACCCTTTTTCGTATGCAAACGGATGTGACATACTATGAAAAATAATTTATTCGGCACTGATTTTCGAACTTGTCCAAGACATCGCTGATATTAACCTATGATATAAGTTTCATAAAAATCTGGCAAGATTTGTACACATGAGAGCGCTAATGATGCAATTTTCCATATAATTAATGTTTCTAAGGGGCATAACTCTTTTAAAAATAATCAGACACATAGTGCACTAACACCCCCTTTAATTTTTACTGAAAACCCTTGATGACAGACCTTACAAGTGGATCTTATAAATGCATAACTTCAAATTTTTTGTAAGTATTATCTAGGGTAATTTGTCTCCAACTTCTGAAAATTTTTATTCTGCTCTTCCATGAAATATATAATTAGAATTTTAAAAAAGTTTTTGAACTTTGGAAATTCACCCTGACAACCGATCAGACAAAGGCTTCCAAAACGGTCATATATTCCAGACATTTGTATAATGTCCAGTAAAAGTCCGGCTGGGCAAAGCACGAAACGGTCATCTACTTTTTATTTTTCAGGGCTTTCTTAAGAGACGGTCATTTTAACATAATTCGCGATCTTTTTGACCCAACCTTTTGCCTTTAACAGCCACACATTTCCGGTCAAAAAAGTGACATGATCATTAAGTACTATCAAAACAACCCCTACTTTAATACCTTCTCATTTTAATCAAGGCTAATTAGTTGTCGAACAGCTGAAAATTACCTGTTCAGGTGACAGGTAAACTATTTTGAACCGGACATTGATCGGTCTATTCAAAGTTATTTTCTTACATTTCACCGGTTTGCATCTAATTAATTTAGTCAAAAAGATTTAAATTATCAGAAATACATTTACAAATAAGATTTGATGAAAAAATTAAAGAGGTGAAAATGAAAAAATCGTCATAACCACGATTTCTTATGAATTTGCATTTAAAGTAATTACAATGTACCTCTTTCAATGCAGGATGTGAATGATCACCACCTCCTTTCTTCTTTCCTTTCTTGCCTTCACCAACCTGAAGTAAAATTTTTATAACAATTATTGCATATACTGGTATCCTGTAGCTTTTGAAAAGAGCAGGGTATCTTTATTAAGGGTGCTCAGAAGTGTGGTCCTGCACCCTTAATAAAGATATACATAAGAAAGGATAGGCCTTTTATAGCTGGCTATGCTATGGGTTTTGCTCATTATTGAAGGCTGTACAGTGAACTATAGTTGCTAACTCTCTGTCATTTGGTCTCTGGTGGAGAGTTGTCTCATTGACAATAATACCACATCTTCTTATTTTTATATTTATTCAAAATGTACCATTTCTTTTCCATATCTATTGTTAAATCTTTTTGTAATGAAATGATAACTCATTGCTAAATTAAGTTAAATTTAATACTAGCTCTGAGTATATACGTTATACGTTTTATTGTACAGGTGTCAGAAGTTAAATGGCCAAGAGCATAGGCATTGCTTATTTACGTGCTTAACAGATTTTGTGCCAACATGGCCAATGACCTTTCGGATCTTGTGTAATAGTGTAAACCATTCAAATCAACCTTGGCTCATAGCATTTACATATTTTCTAGGTAAATTATTTTTTAAAGTTTAATCTGTTATACAGACATGACAGATAGTGACATAACCATAATTCTGTTCTCTTTTCCTTGTATGTAACCTACCAAATTAAACTTATCTGGTATGACAAAGTTTGAACTTACATGAGTGTGCCACATACGGAGCAGGATCTGCTTACCCTTCCAGAGCACCTGAGATTACCCCCGTTTTTGGTGAGGTTAGTGTTGCTCAGCCTTAAGTTTTCTTTGTTGTGTTTGGTATACCGTTTATATTTTGATCATTTTCATTTTTTGCCATGGCATTGTCCTTCTGTTTCCGACTTATGAGTGTTAATATCCCTTTGGTATCTTTTGCCTCTCTTTTCCTTTCCTTTGTTTACTCTCATGTCTTTTTAAGGGTCACATTGTCATGATACTGTCATTAATTCATTTATAAAGGAGTGTGTCAAATTATTGTACGTATGTTGGCGTGTCTATTCTGCTACACAGCAATTTCAGACTCTATAGATTCACAGCAGGTACATTGTAGTTGGCCTGTTAAGATCTTGGCAGGGACCCTGCTGGACTTCGCCAATGTACCAAATTGTGATTTTTTAATTTTATCTGGCAATAAAATACGACTGCTGGTTATATTTCTGGTGCCAACATTTTCCCCATGTCAAAATTTTCATTTCTTGACTGCAACGGTAATAATATCGATTGTCTTTTAAATTAGAAAAAGTTAAAAAAAAATAAATCATTTATGATTAGGAGATGAGGAGCCAGTAAGGCCAAAATAAATTGTGTTTCCTATTTCACCTCCAAAAAAAAAAAGGTAGGGTAGGTAGGTAAAACATTTTATGTTATGAAATTATTTTTTTCCTATTAATGAAGCAGAAAAAGGTTTCAAATCAAATCGTTTGATGTGCCTGCTTCTTTGATATTTAGAATAGTACTTAAATATACAGCTTATTTAATTTTCTGTTTTAGTTCTGTGTCAGAAATATGAAAATAAACTTTAATGCAAATTTTATGCATTTCATGGGTCCTAATAGGAATATGGTTTTGTCGATTATCTTAAACCAAAAATGGCAGTGAAATCTGGCATGGTATGTTATTATGTTGGGCCTCATTGAACCTTACAATGTAAAGATAAGTACCCCTTAAAAATACTGTGAACTGTTGATTATGATTTTTCAAGGGGTAATACTTTGCCCTTGCATCCTCTTTATTTAATATACAGATGTGTTTTGATGTTTGACAGAATGTGATCTTGAAGAGTGGGTGGTTCTGACAATATTAAAATTCCAGGTTTTGAGAAGAGTGAGAATGCAAAATTTATGTCTTAATCTACTGGTCAAATAAATTGCAGATATGAATTTTTTACCTTTTCTCGTATAAATTATGGGACCAGCCAGAAAAAATATAAATGAACAAGAATGTGTCCTTAGTACACGGATGCCCCACTCGCACTATCATTTTCTATGTTCAGTGGACCGTGAAATTGGGGTCAAAACTCTAATTTGGCATTAAAATTAGAAAGATCATATCATTATAGGGAACATGTGTACTACAAATGTAAGTTTCATGTTGATTTGACTTCAACTTCATCAAAAATTCTAACAAAAAACTTTAACCTGAAGCGGGACAGACGGACGCATAGCCCGAAAAACATAATTCCCCTAGGTGGGACATAATAAAAGTAGATATGGTGCAGGGGCAGATTCATTTATAAATGAACATAAATCTTACACCATGTCTGCCTACTGGGGAAAGCTTCTTTTCCTCTTTCTCTTTACACATTGTCTGCCCCCTTGCCGTCATTAACTCAAAAGCATTAAAAGCTGTTTATGTTGAGTCTTGAGCACAATTCTGTACAACATTCGTAAGGGCTTTTTTACAACAAAAGCTGGATTGATTTCAGCAGTAAATTGAACTCATTTTACTCTAAAATTGTTTGTCAATTAACCGATATATACAGTTTTCCAACCTGAAACGATTCTGACCTTTGATCTAAAGAAACACAGGTACAAGAAGAGATTTTGTTAATATATGTATACATACTGAATATACTATTCATTATACACGTTATATATAGAAATATTTAAAAAATCTTGTCTTGTACATGTGCAAAGAAGTTGGACAAAATGTGTCAACTTCCTACTTTTTCAACTTTAGGTCCATCATGATGTTCTTAAAAAAGATTCATCGGAATGTAATTATCTGGGATCAATGTCATTATATTTTGCGTCAATGTGATCACATTTCGCAAATTTGATAGCTAATACACTACACGGTTGTCAAAAAAGCCATGCTTGTTTATTTAAAATCTTGGTCCTTGAAACCCTTTACTTATCCATATTGGTCGTGACTATCAAACGTTTTGAAGACCTGAATTATTCTAAACGAATAATCGGATCCTGTTAGACCGAAAAATCCAGATTTTAATATTTTAAAAAATTTTTGTCAATAAAATGTTTCAGGTCGGCGTCGGAAACAGAGGTAGGGTCAGGAAACCGGAAACACACAATTTATTTATTTTGTCAAAAGTTCAATTAGTTTAGGTACATGAACTATTGACGTCATACAACAATCACTTTTCCATTGTGGCGTCAGATATTCATTTTACGGGAACCTTTGTGATGTCCAGTAATGGCGGACAAATAGCATGAACAGCGATGAGGTGTATGTACATTTGTGATACAGCTTATATTGATAATAAAGACTGTAATTTTGAGAGATGCCACTGTTACTCAATTAAAGTACAATTTATTTTCAGGACTACGATTTTTAATATGTGATGCAATATAGAAAGAGATGCCATTTATTTGCAGGCAAACTTTCATATTTTTTGTGTAAAGGAAGATTTGTCTCCCTTTTAAGATGATGCAATTACATGTCAAACGATGCAACTCAATTTACTCATACACATTTTCTTTCATTATATATACATTGCAAGTGTATTCTAAAAAGGAACTATGTAAATATAACCCCAGAGTGTCGAACGATCAGAAACAAGAAGGATTTTCACACACCAGTGCCGATGACCAAGCTGACATGTAACGGCTATAAGATGAGCCTATCTTCTTCGACAGACGAAGCGCAATTGATTTTGAAAGCATTGGAATTCAGAAAGTTATTGCCGAGACAAAAAATTCTTCATGCCTTTTTCTCTGAAGATATATCCATATTTTCCATTTTCTTTTCCACGTTTTCTGTCATGTTGCTATATTTCCAATGCGCAGGTTTTGTGATCTTTTCCGGATCCGTTTTGGGTTACTGCTTAAAAGAAAGAACGTTACCCCGTAACAGGGACTAATACACGAAATGATCTTGATATTTCTAATAGTAATACATGTATATTGATCGGCATTTTATCAATAATTGGGTCACATCTATTATTTAACTTGTTATTAAACTGACATAAACTCGTCTTATACATTAAAACTAATATAGACCTATGTTTATTCCCAATTTGATTGTCTTTTTCACAGTTTATCGTATTTGAATATTTAGATACAGTAAATTTATGTGTTAAAATGAATTTTGATAAAAAAAAACTCAAATTCCTTAAAAGACTGCTTTTTAATTTCCGAAAAACTATATAAAAACTATAATATATGAATTCAAATAAAAAATACACTACGCCATCCTTTCATCACAACTCAGGGACTTTCTATAGTATAGAAAGTCCCTGACAACTCAGTACAATTAAAAACCAACCAAAGTAATAGCTGGTTCATTGAAATCAAGAAAATATGTCTGAAATATGATCTGATTGACTGCCAGGATTTTTTAAACAATCCTCTAGGAAAATCGCAGTGGAAAAACCTAATTACAAGAAAAGTACATGCATCCTGGCTTGAAAAAATAAATAAAGACTCTGAAGGATACTCGGTCCAGCCTAAAATACATAACAGGAGAATACAAGATAAGTAGAATACATCCAGTCCTTACAACAAATACCTCAAACTGTACAGACATCATCAAATTACCGATCAGGACCAGAATTGCAACTGGTAATTACATCTTACAGACAAATAGAGCTAAATTTAATAAAAGTGAGGTACCTGCAACATTTAAAACCTGCTGCCAAGAGGACGAAACAATCACACATTTTCTAATCTCATGTACGGCGCTAGAACCTGAAAGAGCTTCTCTTCTGAAATCTTTACGAGAACAGTATATCAGAGTGCTAGAACTACTTAACTTTAATATACATTGTAGATGTAGATTGTATCCATGCAATTATCAACACATACCACTTGGTGAAATCTGTGATAACTCTCCAACTAGGGAACTATATACTGTAATATTTTAATATTTTGTAAATATTGACTTCTGGTTAAATTGGCTTTATAACTGTTTATTTGTGTACAGAGAAAATTAATGACGCAAGGCTAATTTGACAAATGGCTAGTTTTATTATCTGCAGTTAAAGTTGAACTGTCAGATGTAAAAAGTAAAATCACAAAAATACTGAACTCCGAGGATCATTCAAAAAAGAAAGTCCCTAATCAAATGGCAAAATCAAAAACTCAAACACATCAAACGAATGGATATTGAACAACTGTCATATTCCTGACTTGGTACAGGCATTTTAAGACAAGTAACGATGTATTGGGGTGAAGGGTAATAAAATTTAGTTACTGCCTATTTGTTTTGTCTAAGAGTGAAAGTAATCAAACTTTCTGATAAAGGTCAGTTGGTCAAGATACTGGCAGATTGTGTATCAGCTGTGATACTGTAAGGATGTGATTTTTCTTGATGTCTTGAATCAGTATAGATTCTGGAGGACTTGTATTTAAAGTTTATATGTTTAAACTTTGTAATCTAACTTTGTCAATAAGTCTGAAGTAATTAGATATAAGAAGATGTGGTATGAGTGCCAATGAGACAACTCTCCATCCAAGTCAAAATTTATAAAAGTAAACCATTATAGGTCACAGTACGGTCTTCAAAACGGAGCCTTGGCTCACACCGAACAGTAAGCTATAAAGGGCCCTAAAAAATACTAGTGTAAAACCATTCAAACGGGAAAACCAACGGTCTAATCTATATAAAAAACGAGAAACGAGAAACACTTATGAACCACATCAACAAACGACAACTACTGAACATCAGATTCCTGACTTAGGACAGGTGCAAACAAATTCAGCGGGTTAAAACGTTTTAATAGTACCAAACCTTCACCCTTTGTCTGAAACAATAGCGTAACATCACAACATAGAAAAACACACTATAAAATATGAACTGAAATAGCTTAACTCAATCAAAGGACATATTAACACCATTGAACATACACTGAACAAATAAATTTGACCTATGATACAATGTAAATACAAAATAAATAAACTAAGGGAAGAATAATAAAAGTAACATGTTATATCGGTATGAAATGTTAAACAATTAAAGAAAAACAATATGCTCGAACAAAAATATCAGCCATTTGCAATAACTTTAAACACAGGTAAATGAAAATAATTTTGTTGTTAGGTATACGTGTACAGTTCCAATAGAGAAAGGAAATATTTTTACAAAATAAATAATTTTGATGTTCATAGTACGAAGTGAAAATTTATAGTAATACCAAACACTTATCAAAGCTGGTATATAGACCAGATATAACCCTGAATAACATTAAATAACAAAAAAGCAATACGATTAGTATCAACAGGTCAAATAAACAAGAAAGTACGATTTGAGAGTACTCGCAGTTACTGACAGCTAGTTAAAAGCCAAAACAATTAATAATAAAAAATCATGCACCAGAGACTAAAATCAACTAAAACACATCCCAGGGATTTAGTTTTTTAACGTCATGGACAGTCAAAGAAGACATGACTAGTGCAATGCCAAAAATAAATGTATCGACAGACAGTAGGATAGTTAGGAGTTTAACTTCTTTATTGATCAAAACGAACGTGGGTGTGTCTTTGTACATCCCGTTTGAAAAGAATACAAATTTAGTTATGTTTTAATTTGCTGATGACAAAAACGATATTAGTGCCAATGTAAACTATATTCAAAGATCTAATTACAACATTGGTAAGATAACCTTTACTAATAAGTTTGTTTAAAGGTTCGATGAGTTTACACGGATTACATAGTGATTTCCGCGCTTTAAGTACAATATTACCGTAAAATTTAGGATGTGAAATACCTTTTTAATCAGTTTTCTACAAGTACAGCCAAATTTACTAATCAAATCTTTGTATCTATGAAAGAACTTAGCAAAAGTTTTACGTAATTTATAGTAACGAAATCCCTGACTTAATAATTTACCAGTGATGCATTTATTACGTTCGTTAAAATCTATGACATCACTACACACACGGGCACAACGAACGAGTTGGGATATATAAACACCGTATGATGGAGCCAAAGGAACATCGCCGTCTAAAAAAGGAAAATTAACAATAGGGAATGAAAAATCGTCTCTTTTGTCGTAAATTTTCGTATGGAGTTTTCCTTTAGAGATTGAAATGTCCAAATCCAGAAAAGGACAACTACTGCTGTTTATGTTAGATTTAGTTAAAGTAAGTTCTATTGGGTAAATTTCGGTAGTATATTTAGAGAACTCTGGATTATTTAACGAAAAAATATCATCTAGATAACGGAAGGTATTGTTGAATGTATCAACCAAATGTAACAATGACGTGTCTTTACTGAGTTTGGTCATAAACTGAGATTCATAGCAATACAGGAATAAATCTGCTATTAAAGGGGCGCAGTTAGTGCCCATAGGAATACCTACTACCTGTCGATACACTTTATCGCCGAAACGTACACATATGTTGTCCAGGAGAAAATTTAAAGCTTCAATCATATCTTCACATTTCCAGTAAGTGTATCTAGCATACTTTCCTTTTTCGTTACAGAAAAAGGCTTTAAACGAGTTACAGCAAATAAATTTGTAATGAGATTTTTCAAAAGACCATTTAATTAAATATGAAAACTTTTTCTTGATAAGATTGTGTGGAAGTGTAGTATAGAGAGTAGAAAAATCATAACTGTCAACAGAATTAAAAGGACCATCAAAATGTACATTTGTGAATAAACTTGTAAATATATATTGCATTATTTAGTTAATGGAAATCACCACAGGATACATTGTCGTGCCATAGTATGGTTATGTCCGTCAATCTGTGTCGTTGTCGTTCCTCCCCTCGATCACGTTACAATACTTTTATTAACACCCATATTGCTTGTAGAACATTAATATATAAGCTCCATGTACATAGATACAAACTTTTAAATTTAGGTGAGAAAAGATGTAGAAAAACAACTTTAAGTTAAATTTATACTTAGATAATGGTTGTGTGTGGACGGCTAAACTCTCACTATTTTGAGACTTTTTTTTAGATTTTATAAACATAAACGCGTGTGATATTGGTCACGGAAGGGATATGCTGATATATCATTCTATTTGTGATTGGATACTTTTTACTTATTATATTCTACTGTTGGATAGAATTTGTTAACTTCATACTGAAGGTGTGCCTCTATTGCCAGAAAATATACAGATACAGATACAGATACCATATAAAAATCACGGGAAAAGGTGTAAACAAGACACACATTCTAAAATTGATATATTAGAATAATTTGCAAGCCTTGAAAACAATAAAATTCTTAGGACACCAAAATTACAACTGAATAATAAAATTATGGAAATGAAAATTACATTTTGCCATCCTACATACCTTCATCTTTAATTTCATATTTTTTTTTATCAATATCAAAAGGCAATCCTAAGAGGAGTTGGAAATATAAAAACTAACGTTTGAACAGAGAAATAGCCCCAAAACATACATGTATAATTAATTTTTGCGAGACAGTGAAATAAATAAATGTTATTAGTTACATGCCCTTTGTCTATTGGTCCAAACTCGTACACAGTAAGTAAGTTAAACTGTATTTAGATTCGCCATATATACAAACATTTTAAACATAAGCTCTCGTGAGCTTTTAACCGAATATAAAAACATGTAAAACATTTACTTCGGGAGAAAATAATAGACCGTGATGTGCTACATGATGAACTCCCGAAGGCTACCCCGATATTGCATGGTTTTTTAACAAGATTGTTTTTATTTGTCAAAATATTTCTCGGTAATATCGGATACACAAATTTGCAGGAAATAATATGCTCCTTTTTGATGTAATTAGA